TTCGGTACACTCATCCAAAGTGCCGATGCGACTTGCGTTTGGTCGGCCGCTTGGAGCACAAACTGCTGTCGACTTGGCGTCCCCGATGGTATATCCATCCATTAACCCGACGCGTCGAGTTCTCTGGGAGGATGCAAACACCGAGATGTAAGAATCCAGAAGCGTACTTGGCGGAACAACAACGACCCACCTAGACCAACACCCCGCCTAAAAGGACCATTTTCGCCCAAGTCGTTTCAGAAAAGGTCCGCTCAAGAAACGATTCGTCGAACCAACCTGAAGAATAACACGTCGCAGATACACGTGAACCTCCTAGGACACCTAGCGAGCCTCCAACGTAAGACGGACGTAGGCCAATCTTTATACCTCTAGTTTGAGTATCCACCCGAAACGTCTTGAAGGTATACCCACGCCGCAAACAGCAGCACGAACATCGACTCGGAAACACCGACGCTGATGGCTCCGTACGTGGACCGGAAATCCCTGGCTGGTTGGTACAACTGGCCACGGTGACGACTCGAATTGACCGCAGTCACCCACAGAAGAATAGCGGGTATCGCTGTCCCAGAGTCGTTTCAACCAGCCGAAACGGATCCCCTGCCCGGGTGTATAAGTTGAAATCAGACCATCACACACCCGAGTCGATGGTAGCAGCGATGGTGCTTCAGGACGAGCGAGGTATCGAGTCCGAACAGCGCATGTCTCAACTCGGCGTTAACCGGCCAAACCGCGCGAACATCTACTCCTCTGCCACCCCCACCGCTCACCAAGCACGCACGCACCACACGCCCAAAGCACCACAAAAAAAACAGCACAACTACAATTACACAAGTAACGACAAAAACTCGGAACCTTTTCGCAGTACACGATAGAGAAAGCAACCACCCAACAACGACCATCCCCCCCCAAAAAACCACCCCTCGATCGAAAAGCAGGCTACCACCCCACCCACCCGATCAAAACCAAAACTCTACACCACCCAACCTCAACCAGAAGGACGAGAGAGAAAAAAACAACAAAAATGCATTCTTGCGATTCTTCTTTTTCTTGCGCAAAACATGATGGGACTTGAGGTATAGATAATAAATTTCATTGCGAGGTTTCTTGAGGTCATGATGCGTTTTAATGAATTTCGAGGTGAAAAGGGTAAGAGTGTGATGGCGGGTGTGATATATAGGCGGGTGGTGTTGGCGGTGGCGAGCAGCGTTGTATGTTTGGGAGGTGTAGGCGTGTACGGGAGGGGCGAAAGGACGTGATGGGGGGGGGGGGGGAACGCGTCGTGCACAACCCACTGGCCCCCTTACGCGGTCTTGCTCAACCCCTTGAGCTCGTACCACCAGACCGCAGTGGGCAGCAGCAAAACAATAACCATAAGATCCCATCGTTTACGTCGGCACAACCATCCGCTGGCCCAACTCAATCCTCGTCCTCTCCTCCCACCGCTTCATATACCCCTTGATCAGCTTTGAAAACAACCGCGGCCGCTTCCCGGGCACCATCACCCCCGCCTCTCCCTTGCCGGCGAACGACGTGCTGGGCGAGACCGGCGAAGGCGGCAACACGCCCTGCATCTTCAACCCCGCCGACCCAAAGTCGTTGTTCCCGCTGAAATACCCCTCGTCGAGGATCTCTTTTTGCTTCGGTGGTGGTAGGTTGAGTCCAAGCGTCGGCGCCGTCGACCCGTCCGAACTCTCGTCGTCCGCATCGGCACCATCGTCTTCCTCATCCGTCGCGGTGTACAGCACGACCTCCTCCTTCCTCTGCACAGCCTGGTCAATCTCAATCAACCGCTCCTCGTCCAGGCACCATAACAACACCCCCAGCGAATACGCGTCGCACAGTCGCCCGTCGACCGGTATCCGCTTGTACGTCCGCTTATCGACGTACTTGCCACCCCTCAAGATCTCCGGCGCCGCAAACGGATGCGCTGGTGGGTGAGGTACTTCAGATTGGGGGTAATGCGCGGGCGAACCGGGCGGGGCGTAGAACGTCGACCGGCCAAAGTCGATGAGCTTGACGATATTCGGGGGGTGTGCGGTAGGATGCGTGATGAGAACATTAAGGCTGTTGATATCACCATGTGAAAGTCCGTGTTGGTGGATGTGCACGAGTCCTTCCACGAGTTGGTTAAACCATTCTACTTTGAGTCGCGTGTTGACGCGCTCGACATCGTCCCACTTCCCACCGGGCGTATTCCGCTTGAGCACACGCTCAAACAGCGTGTCTCCGTCGACCTGTTCGAGCACCATCCCAATTCCCTCGAGGCATCCTAGGAGCGCGGCAATGTGTTTATGCGGTCCCGCGGTCTGATAGGCGCGGAGTTCGGCGAGAAACTGGTTCTCCACGTCCGGTGCGTTCGTGTGGAGCTCGTCATTGAGATACATTTGAACCAGTGCTGGTCGCTTGATCACGGTGCGGAATATTTGGGACGTCGAACCCGAGGACCATGGAATGAGATTGGAGAGCCGTTGGGTGGGTGTCGGGACAGGGGCAGGCTGTGAGTACGGCCCGGGAGTGGGAGAAACTGTCGACAGAGATAGGTGAGTAGTTGATCCTTTGAGACAGGGGTCTCTTATACCCACCGAGTTCTGCAGACGAGACAAGACTCGCATAACGGTGCATTGGCGTGCTGGGAGTTGAAGGAGGCTGCGGGGAGGGGTCGTAGGCACGCCAGCTGCCAGGCTGAGCGTTGAGTTGAGGAGCTTCTAAAGCACATTGATTTGCATGTTGAGCGTTGGAAAGTGTCCACACTCGGGTGAAAAGATTGGTGGCAGATTCGGCCTTGGGCTTTTGGCCGGGGAAAGGACGTGGTGGGGGACGTTGGGGACGATAGTACATGGTATTGGTTTTGAACTGAGGGAATAGGTCAGAAGCAAGATAGGGCCATAGCTGCGGGGGGACTTACGGGAATCTAGAAGGATGGACGAGACAAGTTGTTGGAAAGGCGGGAGGAATTGATGAGACTAAGTAATTATACACTCTTGAGAGAAGAGATCGGCGGCGATATAAACTCAGTATCCAACATTGAATAGGTCGTTGTTTGTGGGACGTACCTATTTCAGATGTTGTTTTGTGTGGCGTCCGAGGGTGGTGGAATGAGGCCTGCTCGAGATTAGAACCAAGGGCGAGTCCGATACAAGCGAGGCTGAGGGGGGTGGGGGGGGTGTACAAGGCCTTTAGGGACCAGTGGCTTATATGTCGGAGTGGAGGGATTTGCGGGGCGCGTTGGAATGCGAATGGTCGAGAATGGAATGGCCGTCTGGGTGGGGTGACGTAGCGTGAAAACAAGACACCGAGAGTCAGGAGATGACCAAGATAGGCTGTAGGTGGAAGCTTCTGACTTTGAAGAGACCTGCTCGGACTGGCGGTGGGGAACGTTCAGTCGCTGGGTGGATAAGTGATCGCGTCCGAGGTCAACATTCGAATGTCTTCCTTGATCACAGAAAGAAGAACATACGTGCAAGTTGTAAGTTGAGAAGGTGTAGTAGGGGCGTTGCGATGGACCGGGAGTTCTGAGCGGCGCGATTGAGGATTGTTGGGAAGAGATAAGGTGTGTTCGGCCGAGAAGGTGGAGATGATTTGGTGTATTGTCTTGGGGACGGAGCGTGCGTGATGAGCGTGCGTGATGGTGGTGGGAGAGAAGGGTGGGTATTTGAAGCAAAAGTAGCCTGGAGGGCACGTTCGTCGCTCCTCGTCTGTTTCCAAATGAACCGGTAGATGTAGATTACAGATCTCACTTCCCACGCCCTTACCCGCCTCATCCCTTCTTCGTCCACACGAAATCGCTCTCTCGGCTCTCTTTCGGAACCACCGCACTCCATTTCTCTCAACTTTCTCTTCATGCGGTTGGCCAATTCCCTCGACAATTCCTTCTCCTCTTCGCCGCCTCCCCTTGACTCACGTTTTTCACCTCTCAATCGCTTGACGTGGCCTCGATTACATGTCTGTGGCGCCCGAATGCCGTACGATCTTGAATTCGGCTGAACATGTTTTGGGACGGCGGGTCCCGAAGATGAACCTTAGAACACCTTGACCATTCCAGCTTGGTTCAGAACGCGGTTCTCGGTTCCACCCGGCCCGCGTTCCCCAACCACATCGCACCCCCGTCGCTGCGTCGATTCTGTCTGCAATTCCATACAATCCACAGATACCCAACGGGGTGCTTTCCATCCTTGGCAATACATGTACCGCACGACCGAGTGGGCGAAATGGCGTCGTGGATCTCCTTGGCAAGCCATGGTCCCAACATGATCCCTACATTTCACAACATCACCTCTCCTTTCGCTTGGCTTTGTTCCAACGGATGAGGCACGCCTTCCAGTGTGCTGACCTGTTTTTCCGGGGCTCCAGGGTCCTCCCGCGCAGTTGAGCCAACTTACAGTTTTCCTTCCTATTGCGGTTTCTGAAAAGACCCTATCAATCATGGTCCGAAACCCCTCGTTTTGCAGACATACGGCATTGAGGATGCTCGTGCCGATTGCTTTTTCGGAAGACGCAGTGACGTCTCACTCGCGTGGTTTGCCGCCTTCCAGACTCCTGAAGACTTCTGGGAGATGTGGTCTGGCCAGCTCCGATCGGACCCGCCATGTTACTTCTTTACCCGGACACAGAAGTCGATGACGTTCCAAGGGTCTTTGATCTTCCCCCAATCCCTCGCTGAATGGCCTCGATTTGTTTCTCGTCTCGCTTTTCGAGTTCCATCTTGATTTGATTGGTGGGCTGGAGGCTCTGTCGCTTGCGGTTTTCTCCTCTCCGCGAAGACTGATCTCCCGACGTCCCAGCCTTGGCTGAGAAGCCATGAATGGCGCATGATAAGGAAGGATAGGTGTCACACGACTGCATACTCTATAGGCGTCGCGGCGTATACAACGGAACATTGCTGCTAAACGACCTTCCTTGGATTCAGGGGCACCTTCCATTCCTTGTACGGCTTTGTGATTTTATCGAATCTGACCGAGGTTGCCTCAGAAGTCCGCAAATCGGAAATCCGACCCTCGCCTGCCCGGCTAGCTCAATCGGTAGAGCGTCAGACTCTTATATGCCGAGTGAAGTTGTAGGCATATCTGAAGGTTACGGGTTCGACCCCCGTGTCAGGCTACTTGGATACTCTGAGATGGTTCATCGCCATCGAATCCTACCTTTTTTGATTTTTTGGAGTATCTCGGTCCTCAGCTTCATGTGTCGTGTAGCTTTTTGCTCTGCTGTTCGTTTTATCTTCTCAACGGCATCCGGTGCCGAGTCCCACTGCGAGCGATAAAGTTGTGGCTTGCAATCGGAGACATCGCCGGCGGGTACTATTCCTGCATCGAACGTGCCGGTATATACTGGCAGCAGAAAAAATCATTGGATACCGTGGTATATTACCGCTCCGAGACGTGTAGAGACAAATACACTTCTGTCGTTTCGCGGTGCAACCGTCGCAAGTCTCAACGATGTCGCCGCGATCTAATTAAAATTTTCAAATAGTCCGAAGCGACTTTCTCCAAATCCATGTCGTCCGATTCCGGTAGGGATTCGTGATTTGCCGATGACGTTGAGAGTCCTGAAGCGCTCAAAGGCATATGCTGGCGCTTCTCGTCTCGTGAGCGCTTCTCTAAAAGAAAGAGGGTACTCTTCTCATCGGGTACAGAGTTATCCACGACTGATGCTCCATTTCACGTGATGGGCGGCCCATCCGCGAGCGACTTCCCAAAGCAGTTGATTTCAACTGCCTGCGGACCTCGGTACCGAGGCAAACATGTATTCGTGACGGCCGACGGTCACGTCTGAGTTGGAGACCGCATGGGTTGTGCTGTTGGGGTGAGAAGTACCCATACGCAGAAGGGTCAGAAGGGGAGGGGGTACGTAGGTCTCTCCCCTCACCCCAAAGTAGGATTAATGGCAAGGACTCAACCTTACTGGGAGTGGCTTGTCTCAGGACGATATGGACGAGGGCAACTACACATCCCCGCGCAAAAAAATGTGAAGAAAAAAGGCACTTTACAAGGTACCCCGGATGCGAGGTAGATACGGATTCAGGACAGAGTTGTAAGGGATAAGCCGCACACTCGTGGATCGTCATTGTGGGGTACACCCACTGCATGCTGAAGACGAAAGTGGCGCAATATCGCGTAGCGAATGGCGAATGGAGAGGCACAGACCAAAATGGGGAGGAAAGGTTGTTGAACAATTGTAGGATACGCCAAGCAACGTCGCGGTTGAGAGCCCGAGCAGCAGAGTCTTCCGGATCGACCCGGTCGAGACACACCCTTTAGGGCAAAACAACAGCGTGGACCATGATATAACAGACCACGAGAGCGAGAAGTCGAATTACAAGAACCGCTTGCATGGATTTCTCACTGGAGAGCTTAAAATCCAAGCTCCGAGTCGTCTGAGCAAACAAAAAGTCGTAACGCCCATCTCGAGTGCACGGAAAACAGTGGGAGGGCGGATAGATCACCGGAGACGAGCTGTTTCATCGTTTGCAAACAGGTCAGCTCACAGCCCCCTTTGACGATTCCTTGATGGCCGTATGTAAACCCTCCAACGCGTGGGCCCCATCCATACTTTTGTACGAGCGGACGAGGCCGAGAGGAAACGGACTGCATGCGGAGGGAGAGCTAGCACAGGTGGGGTATAGCACCAGCACCGGCCACTCTCTCTCAGGCACACAATACACCTATCTAAAAAGTCACCTGCATCCTACCCCCCTTGGTACATATACCTCTCAACACCACAACCCCCGCCCCTTGTACATTACGACCCCCCTTCTGCTCTCGTAAAGAACGACCTTGTTACGAACTTGTCCTTTTTGTATAAGAATTTCCGAGTGGACCGGGAGATCAGTCGGAAATCGCCCCCTCCCTCTGTAATTTTGGTCTGGACCGCTGCGCAACCCCCCTCCGACGCACGGCGGCAGCACGCTCTTCAACGCCCCTACGACGGGTACCCCCTCACTATTCTCGCAGTTTTCTGGTGTGCGCTTGGCTAGATGGCGGATGTAGATTCGCCGTGTGTTAGTGTACTCGATACGAGCGAGATCGTCGGGCTCGCGGTACGTCCCTACGCCACTCCCCACGCCTGCCCGATATCTCGAGATGCTGACGGTGACACGCTGACAGTTCATCGCTGAATCCGGTGTCATTTCCTCCGTCGCTGTCATCATATTCGCTTTACTCGTTTTGGTGCGTTCGCTTGTTGTTATTCCAATAAAGACGCATCATCTCACCGTCGGACGGCTATTCGAATACCCAGCGCAACTTTGTCGAGAACAGGCGCAAACCAGGCCCGAACGGCGTCCAGCCGCTTATACGCACCCACGTCGACGCGTACATGATCTCGCTCATGTTCGCCGACCTCTTGCAAGGTCTCGGGGCAGTGACCAGTGCCAAATGGGCGGCAGACGGCCGGGTCGTGTGCTCGGCATATTGCACCGCTCAAGGTTCGCATACCCCACCCCTTTGCACCCGCTCCACTATTCACCACTCTTGCTAGGCGCCCTGCAGCAGCTGGGGGAGACGGGCGTAGCGCTCTCGACGCTTGCCATCACCGTACACACCTTCGCGACGGTGTTTTTCCGCTGGCAGCCCCCGAGGAAGCCGTGGCTCTGGATGTCCGTCCTCACCTTCATATGGACGTTCCTCATCCTCTTTGTCGCGCTCGGATACGCCCTCCATAAAGGCAACGAGAAGCTGCCCGACGGAAAGCCTTATTTCGGCCCAACCCCGTTCGTTCTCCACTTTATCCCCTTCGAGTTCGCCGACACTGACGTCCCACCCGTGATGCAGGTTCTGGTGTTGGATCGGTCCCAGCTTTCTTTGGGAGCGGATCGTAGGGGAGTATTTTTGGTTATGGTTCTGCGCCATGATCAATATCCTCCTCTACCCGTTCCTGTTTTTCACGCTCAGAGGGAATATCGACGTCGACCCGTCGAACTGGAGAAGGGTACGTCCCGTGTTCAGCTTTATCTCCACACCCCGCGAACGGAATAGCTCATCCCCAACCAGATACGCTTCCACCGGCGAAGTCACGACACCATATTCGGTGCCCTGCCCAACTCGGACGCGTCAAGACGGACACTCAAGCAAGATTCCGAGAGCGTGAAGAACCTCAAAGCGCGGAATAAGGAAGCGATGAAGATGTTCTGGTGCGTCTGCCAAGTCGACCTTTTTAGGCTTATCTCAGGGACGTGCACTCATTTTATTTTTCATATTTATTTGATTATCGATCGGTGCAGGTACCCTATCAGCTATACCGTTCTCGTGCTACCGCTCAGCATCACGCGTTGGTCGACGTTCCGCTCGCGAGAAGACGACGATAAACCAGTGAAAGACATGTCGATAGTGACGACGAGCGTCGTCTTGTTCATCTTCGGGCTGTCCGGTCCGTGCACTCCCCCCACGCGTATCTGCGTTCCCTGACGTGTGTACTGACACCCTTACCCTACAGGCCTGTGCAACGTCCTCTTGTTCCTCCTCACACGACCCAACCTCCTCCTATTCAACGTCCGGCGCGAGAACAAACGCCTCCAACGGCAGAGCTTCATGACCTCGGGCATCTCCTTCAGCAACAACTTCGCCTCTCCACGGTCAGGCCTGGTCCAACGCCGTCGCACGCCGCAGGGGGGTACGCTGGACGGCGAGTGGCCACTGGACGACCAGGAGGAGTACATCGAGCACGCAGGCTCGCTGTACAACTACCCCCCCGCGCCGATGGACACGGCTCCCGTCCCGCCGACCGACGACGGGTCCGTGGGACGGTCCTACCCCAATGCCGTGGAGAAATTGGAGATGAACTACACCGGGACGTACCGGCACGACTCGATGCCGCCGTTCGCGCAGTACGGCAAGACGAGCACCTCACCCGATGTCGTCGATGATCTGGAGTACCAGCGGTCCAGGCGGAGGAGGAGCGAGACGACGTCCGCGGAGGAGGAGGATACGGACACCAAGACGACGTCGCGACGGTCGGTTCCCCCACCCCCACAAGGCATCGCCGTCACGCGCTTCCAGGAACACTTTTACGAGTCGAAAGAGTCATTAGGGAGGACGGGGGAGAGGCGGCCACCACCGTTGATGGTGGAGAGACGGGCGGAGGTCGTACCCGCCGTAGATCCGTCACCCGAGACCTCGCTTTCGCCCGTCGCGTTCCGGTCTGCGAACAGCCAGAGTCCGGACCAGTCGTTAGGGTGGGACCGGCGGTATTCCGGGGCACGTCGACCGCGTATGGAGGATGTGGACGCAGAGGACGAGCGCGAGGACGACGGCAGTGGTGCTACCCCCTCTTCGTCGGAGGGATCTAGTAGATCGCGTCGGAGGGAGGGAGAGGGGGGCCATGTGCCACCACCTCCGCTGCCAGCCCCACTGCATCCAGTGTATTCGCCCTCGCGTGCGTCGCCGCGTACGGCCATCACGTCTCCGCCGGCGGGGTACCCGTCGAACGAGATGACGCGGGCGAGGGTGGAGGAGTGGGCGTTGCGCGCGGAGGAGGAGAGGATGAGGGCGAGTGCGGCGGTGGGGTTGCCGTTTGACCGCCCGCCGTGAGCGTGAGCCGACTACCTTTACATCGTTTAGTCTCTCTTTGCGTCTGGGATTTGTACGAGTACCTGAGGTGAGGGGATTTTTTCGTAGGTTTATCGAGATTTATTCGTTTATCGTTTCGTTCGCGTTCTTTTTATTGTTGGTTTTGGTTTTTTTTTAAGTGTGTAGGCTTGTACTTGTATCGGTATTTTCTGTGTTCTTGGCTTGACATCTGAGATATACCCTCCCCCGTTCGTCATGAATCTCGAAGTCGGCCAGGTCTGGTGAGCGTCAAGTCGCCGGTTCCCAAAGGACAATTGAGAACTAGCATGTTTACTGCATTTCTGACATCAATCCATGAGGCGATATCGACCAAGTTGTAACTGCGGTGTTAGACATATAAGTAGCCAAAGTCGGGATCCCTGCGAAAGGAATTCAAAGCCCTAGTGCTTGATCGGGGATGCCCAAGATGTGCAGGCGCTGGACGACCTCTCCAACTCCTGATAGTAATGACAAGGGAGAGACGCGTTGGCAATGCAACTGTAAATGTGTCAGTCAGTATTTCGATTGGGAGGCGGTGGATGAGGGTCAGATCATTGC